TCTAGACTTTTAATGAGATGAATGGCCTCTGAGAGCAATGTTTCCATTTCCTGCTTTAATTCTGGACACTTTTCATCTTAAAATAGAAATATATATTCACATTTGTTAATGAACCAGCCTATAAACTAGGTGGTGGGAACATAGGTACTAATAGTATCATTTTCCTTTTTTAATATTTATATGTTTAATAAGAGAATTTTAGAAAAATGAATTAGCCTTTTTAAAGAGTTTTATTATAATAAAATCATAACATTAATTATAACTTTTGAAGACAGATTTTGAAGTGAACACTTTGTAAAATAGTTAGAATAGAGGAATCTTAAGCAATATCTCCTTGTATATTTTATCTAAAAATGTTTTTTTCATAAGCTATATTATAGAACTTTATTTTTAAATCATTCTTGTATTTCCTCTCATTCTATGACAAAAGCAAATCATAATGATTATATCAGCTAAATACTGAAAATCCTCAGATGGTTCCTAGAAACATGATACTTTATATTCCTTATCAGATAATAACATCCTTAGTTAGCCCTGCCAGGAATTCATTGTTTCCAAATTCCATTTATTTAGTTATAACACAAATTGACTCCTATAATGAGAGAAATTTGTGATTACTGGTTCACAGCTCTGAAAAGATATGGTTTAATGTTAACAAAATGATTAACATGGATATTCATTCACCTATTTATACTAGAAACACACAGAGAGCCTGTTATGTTCTGGGCAATACACTCTCTCACTAAAGATAGATCAGTAAGGAAGATGGATATGGGTTCCACTCTGGTGAGATTTATACTTGTTAACAGTGACTTTTGCCAAAATGTGACATGACAAGAAGACATAAACAAACACAAAGTGTTGAGAAAGACAAAGCCTCAGAGAGCTGAGTCTAGAAGAAAAACAGTAAAACAGGTTCAAAACAAAGGCAACTAATAGACCTCTGCTTTGTTTTGTTTTGATTTGGACAATAAAGCAATAATTTTCTGCTAGAAGATATTACATATTGGTTATAAGTGCAAGCTCAGTAGTCACAGTTTCTATTTCTAACCTAGTAAGCCTATCAAAGAAATTCAGCATGCTGCCTGAAAAGAATTCTTGAGAAACAGGTCTCTCTATTGTAATGCATAAAAATTATCATTTATGGACTGGCCCTTGATTTGGCCTCTCTTTATTTGGTCTATGTCTTCTTTTTCCAGAATCTACCACATCCTGGACATTTTACATCCTTAATTGTCTGTTTTTTTCACAACAATATACACAGTGAACACTGTGTTCTTCAGCCAACTTATGATCTATTTAGTTTCTATAAAGAGAGTCTGAAATGTTTAATTAAATTAATGCCACTTAAATCACTTCTGATGCGATAAAAATGTTTACCAAAGACATCCATCATGTTTGTACACGATCTTCTGTACTGTTTTTATGATAGCATTCTAAAATAGATGCTGTGTTTATAACTTCAGATGCCTCTAATTCATTATATTGAATCTCTCAATGTTTTTCTAGAATATCACCTCAATTAGTTTTACTATTTCATATTGAGTAGGTGAGTAACCTCCTGTAATTTTTTTAGCACAAATATTTAATTACAATAAATCTTGTCAACCTGATACTGTCTTGCACTTTGGGATCACATGTATGAGTTTACAATAAACATTACTGCAGTTAATTTAACTGTTATTATGTCCATTAACATATTAATCTTCTCCTAGCATTTGTCACTTGAAAAATTAAGACGTAATGGATAAGATTTTTTCTTCAGTGTAGATATTAATAGTGAAAAGGAAACAGGAAAAACAGAGCCTCACCATGAGAGACAGCTTTGAAAACTATATATATGCAGGGCGCCTGGGTGGTTCAGTGGATTAAAGCCTCTGCCTTCAGCTCAGGTCATGATCTCAGGGTCCTGTGATTGAGCCCTGCATCGGGCTCTCTGCTCAGCAGGGAGCCTGCTTCTTCCTCTCTCTCTGCCTGCCTCTCTGACTACTTGTGATCTCTCTGTCTCTGTCAAATAAATAAATAAAATCTTAAAAAAAAAGAAAACTATACATATGCTATATATATATATATATATATACATTATATATATATTATAATGTATATATATAATATATAAAGCACATGTATTAATCTTAATTTATACATATATAAATATTACATACAGAATATAAATATAGTAGAGCTTCCATGTCCAGTGTGGTAGTCATGAATCTCTTGTGATTATTTACACTTAAAAAGTGTTAAAATTAAACTGAAAAATTAAATTCTCAGACTTCCTAACTTCATTTCAAGCAGATATTATATATGGCTACCAGATGGTAGAAACAGAGAACACTTTGATTATCCCAGAAAGCACGACTAGACAGCACTGAATTATAGTTAACTTCTTGGGAGGTAGAGAGGGATCATTATATACTCAGGACCCAGACCAGTATACATTATATTAAATATTTGTTGAATTTTGTTGTTTAATTAAACGATATAGAAGGCTCTTTCCTCTATTAGATATTCACAAGAATTATAAAACTATTAAAAATGATTATTGTAAAAATTAAAAATATGTTAAATGAAAAGTCAATGAGCTTTTAAATATAACTTCATTTATTTAAGTATGAGGTACAACTTTACCTCTCTCTTCTGGTTTAACCTCTTTCACTGGTGTAGCAATACTCCAGTCTTCCTTCTGGTCTTGTGTGGAAGAAGTTCTGCTCCTATATAAAGGGAAAGAAGCAATCAATTAATAAAGAATTACTATACTTAAAGTTTAAAGTTATTAAAACAAATTTTAGGTGATCCTCTCACATTAAATTTTAAATGTTTACGGTAGAACTTACTATACATGCTAATGCTATTATACAAGAAAATAATATAGCAAAATTCTAATACGTAATGGGCTTTACATTTCATGGTAAATTAACAGAAACTCAAAATTTGTTACAAATGACCTAAAAATATTTGAGAGGATATTAAAGAAGTTTTTTTTGTTTTTGTTTTGTTTTGAAGATTTTATTTATTTATTTGTTAGAGAGAGAGAGAGAGAGAGAGAGAGCGAGCGTGAGCATAGGCAGACAGAGTGGTAGAGGCAGAGGGAGAAGCAGGCTCCCTGCTGAGCAATAAGCCCATGTAGGACTTGATCTCAGGACTCTGGGATCATGACCTTAGCGGAAGGCAGCCGCTTAACCAACTGAGCCACCCAGATGTCCCTGTTTTTGTTTTTAAGAAAATGAATTGGTCTTCCTTAGATAGTGTTGCTATCAGAAAAAGGGGGTTTAATTGAGAATAATTTGAGAGCTATTTCTCTAACTTCAGTTTAGAAGTTTGGGGTACCATATAAAATCCAAGGACCAAAAACACTTTTTCAGATTTGAAAATTTTTTTAAAGATTTTATTTATTTATTTGACAGAGAGAGAGATCACAAGTAGGCAGAGAGGCAGGCGGGCGGGGGGGGAAGCAGGCCCCCTGCTGAGCAGAGAGCCCTATGCAGGGCTTGACCCCAGGACTCTGGGACCGTGACCTGAGCTGAAGGCAGAGGCTCAACCCACTGAGCCACCCAGACACCCCCAGATCTGAAATTAATAACATTTTAGGAAAATATCCAAATTAAAGTGTTATTTTTTTTCTAAAAGGGAATCTGTGTTAAGCATCTACCTTGGGCCTAGGTCTTGATCTCAGGATCCTGGTATCCAGCCCTGTGCCAGGCTCAGTTAGCAGAGAGTCTACTTCTCCCTCTCCCTCTGCTCCTCCTCCCCAGCCCATTCTTCATGTATTTGTGCATGTTCTCTCTCTCTCAAATAAATAAATAAATAAATATCTTTAAAAATGTTTTAAAAAATTGTTCTTAAGTTTTCATATTTAAAAAGAAGCATTTTTCCTCTGATAAATGTTATCAGAAAAAAAGTATCAACAACAAAGCAGGTAGTGATATTTTCATTAAGTTATTATTTTTTCTTATTAAAGAAGCATTACAAATTAAACGAAGTTTATACATACCAAAAATCATATTATAAAATAATCCATATTAATTACTCTTCTTAGCTATAACAGAACACTCTAATGATATTTCAATTTTTATAAAATTAGTCATAAAATATTGCATGTGCTTTAGCTATATGACATTGTTTCCTATATATTTGATGATAGTTTAATATTTCTGATGGCTGCATACTATTTATCTCATTGTTGTTCCACAATTTATTTAGAAAAGCTTGTTTATTATGAGGTCAGGGAAATATTCATCATCTTTTCTCCATTAGTTTCAACTTCATTTTTAAATACTTTTGTTAAATAATCTAATATTTTTTTCTTGCTTGTTTGAAAACTAAAAAAAGGTTGAATCAGTAGGTTGCACGCTTGAAGCTAATTAAGATTGTGTCAACTATACTCAAAAATTAAAAATAAAAGAAACATTCACACCATTAAAATAAATAAATAAGTAAATAAATAATAAAAACATGAGGGTTGCTGGAGGAGGTGAGAGCACTTTATGTAAGGTGCAGTGGGTGTATATGCAACTGATGAATCACTAAATTCCACTTCTGAAACTAATAAAGAAAATAATAAAAACTGTTGCACATAATTGAATCCATTTTGTGTATTTTTTTCTAAAATTTAGTTAATTTTTGGACCAGCAAAATCATCTTGATTCTTTTTTTATTTTATTTTTTTTATTTGAGAAAGAGAAGGAACAGGAACAGGAGGAGGGGCAGAAGGAGAGGAAAAAAGACTCCCTGATGAGCAGGAAGCCTGACATGGGACTTGATCCCAGCACCCTGGGATCATGACCTGAGCTGAAGGCAGATGCTTAATTGACTGAGCCACCCAAGTGACCAATTATTATTTTTTTTTTAATTGAGGCAAAAGTCCCATAACACAAAATTAACCATTTGAAAGCGTAAACTTCAATGGCATTTACTACACTTAATGTTGTGACTATCATCACCAGCTAGTGCCAAAACATGTTTATTACCTTAGAAGAACTGCCCCTCATTTTTTTTTTTAATATATGGAATGTTTCATGAATTTGTGTGTCATCCTTGCAGAAGGGCCATGCTAATCTTTGTATCGTACCAATTTTAGTATATGTGCTGCTAAGTAAGCCTCATATTTATTAAACAATCTCTCCCCTCTCCTTCTTTCTACCAGCCTCTGGCAAGAATCAATGTGCTTCCCATCTCTATGATTTACCTGTTATAGATATTTCATGTAAATGGAATCATGCAACAGGTAACCTTTTGTATTTGGTTTCTTTAACTTAGCATGGTGGTTTAGAAGTTTACCCACATTACAGCATCTATCAAAATTTTATTACTTTTTATGGCTGAATAATATTCCATTGTATAGCTATACCACCCTTTATTTATACATTAGTCTACTAAAAAAACGTTTTACTTAAATTCAATTAGCCAACATATAGTACATTATTAGTTTCACATGTAGTGTTCAATAGTGCATCAGTTGCTTATAACACCCAGTGCTCATCACATCACATATCCTCCTTAATGCCCATCACCCAATTACCCTATCCCCCACCAACCACCCCTCCAGAAACCCTGTTTGTTTCCTATAGTTAAAGAGTTTCTCATGGTTTTTCTCCCTCTCTGAGACTTCCCAATAAGTTTTCCCTCCCTTCTCTTATGGTCTTCTGCACTGTTTCTTATATTCCACATATGAGTGAAACCGCATGATAATTGTCTTTCTCTGACTTATTTCACTCAGCGTAATACCTTCCAGTTCCATCCATGTTCATGTAAATTGTAAGTAATCATTCCTTCTGATTGCTGAGTAATATTCCAGTGTGTGTGTGTGTGTCTGTGTGCGCGCGCACATGCGTGTGCACACACGTGTGTATCCATTCATCTGTCAACGGACATCTCAGCTTTTTCCACAGTTTGGCTATTGTGGACATTGCTGTTATGAACATTGGGGTGGATGTGTCTCTTCAGATCAATACATTTGTATCTTTGGGGTAAATACCTAGTAGTGTAATTGCTCCGCCACAGGGCAACTCTACTTTTAACTTTTTCAGGAACCTCATACTGTTTTCCAGAGTAGCTGTACCAGCTTGCATTCCCACCAACAGTGTAAGAGGGTTCCCCTTTCACCACATCCTTGCCAACATTTGTTATTTCCTGTCTTGTTAATTTTAGCCATTCTGACTGGTATGAAGTAATATCTCATTGTGTTTTTGACTTGTATTTCCCTGATGGTTGAGTGATGTTGAGCACTTTCTCATGTGTCTCTTGGCCATTTGGATGTCTTCTTTGCGGAAATGTCTGTTCATGTCTTCTGCCCATTTCTTGACTGGATTATTTGTTTTTTGGGTGTTGAGTTGGATAAATTTTTTTATAGATCTTGGATATTAACCCTTTTTCTTATATGTTATTTGCAATTATCTTCTCCCATTCTGTAGGTTGCCTTTTATTTTGTTGACTGTTTCCTTTGCTGTGCAGAAGCTTTTGATCTTAATAAAGTCCCGAAAGTTCATTTTCACTTTTGTTTCCCTTGCCTTTAGAGACATGTCCACCAAGAAGTTGCTGTGGCTGATGTCAAAGAAGTAGCTGCCTTTGTTCTCCTCTAGGATTTTGATGGATTCTTGTCACACATTGAGGTCTTCCATCCATTTTGAGTTTATCTTTGTGTATGGTGTAAGATAATGGTCCAGTTTCATTCTTCTACATGTGGCTGTCAAACTTTCCCAGCACCATTTATTGAAGAGACTGTCATTTTTGCATTGGATATTCTTTCCTACTTTGTCAAAGATTAGTTGACCATAGAGTTGAGGGCCCGTTTCTGGGATCTCTATTCTGTTCCACTGATCTGCATATTTGTTTTTGTGCCAGCACCATACTGTCTTGATGATCACAGCTTTGTAATAGAGCTTGAAGTCAGGCAGTGTGAAACCCCCAGCTTTGGTTTTCTTTTTCAACATTCCTCTAGCTATTCAGGATCTTTTCTGGTTCCCTACAAATTTTACTATTATTTGTTCCAGCTCTGTGAAAAATGTTGTGTTATTTTGATAGAGATTGCACAGAATATGTAGATTGCTCTGGGTAGCATAGACATTGTAACAGTATTTTTTCTTCCAATCCATGAGCATGGAATGTGTTTCCATTTCTTTGTGTCTTCCTCAATTTCTTTCATATGTGTTCTGTAGCTTTTAGAATACAGATCCTTTATCTCTTTAATTAGGTTTATTCCTATGTATTTTATGATTTTCCAGTGCAATTGTAAATGGGATCAATTCCTTAATTTCTCTTTCTTTCAGCTAATTGTTAGTGTGGATATATGCAATTGATTTCTGCACATTGATTTTATATCCTGCCATGTTGCTTAATTCTTATATGAGTTCTAGCAACTTGGGGGTGGAGTCTTGGATTTTCCACATAAAGTTTCATGTCATCTCCAAGGAGTCAAAGTTTGACTGCTTCTTTGCCAATTTGAATGCCTTTTATTTCTTTTTGTTGTCTGATTGCTGAGGCTAGGACTTCCAGTACTATGTTGAACAACAGTGGGGAGGGTGGGCAACCCTGTCGTGTTCCCGACCTTAGGGGAAAAGCTCTCAGTTTTTCTCCATTGAGAATGATATTCACTGTGGGCTTTTCATAGATGGCTTTTATAATACTGAAGTATGTTCCCTCTATCCCTACCCTTTGGAGAGTTTTAATCAACGAAGGATGCTGTATTTTGTCAAATGCCTTTTCTGCATCAATTGAGAGGATACGGTTCTTGTACTTTCTTTTATTAATGTGATGTATCATGTTGATTGATTTGCAAATGTTGAACTATCCTTGCAGCCCAGAAATAAATCCCACTTGATGCTGGTGAATAATCCTTTTAATGCACTGTTGGATCCTACTGGCTAGTATGTGGCTGAGAATTTTGGCATCCATGTTCATCAGGGATATTGGTCTGTAATGCTTCTTTTTGGTGAGGTCTGTCTGGTTTTGGGATCAAGGTAATGCTAACCTCTTAGAGAATTATGTTCAAAGATTTCTGCTGAAAAATTTGAGGTTGTCTACTCCTTTTGGCTATGGTGAATACTGATGATATGAACGTTTGTATATAAGATTTGTTTGAACACCTGTTCTGAAATCTTTTCTGTACATACCTCAGAGTGGAACTGCTATGTCATATGGTAATCTAGGATTAACTTTTTGAGGAAGCATCAAACTGTTTTTCAAAGTGACTGACCATTTTACATTCCCACCAGCAATATATGAGATTTCTAATGTTGAATAAAAGTGAAAAGAGCTAGCATCTTGTATTGTTCCTGATCTCAGGTTGAAAAATTTTGGACTTCAGCATTAAGTATAATATCAGTTGAAAATTTTTCATAAATGTCCTTCACCTTGCTTTCTAATTTGCTCTAAACTGTTTTTTGAGTGTTTTCATCATGAAAACGTGTTGGATTTTGCCATATGTTTCCACATTGAGATGGATTTCCCCCCTTCATTTTATTACTGTGGATATATTACACATTGATTTTTTTTTCTCTATTTTGAACTACCCTTACATACCTGGGAGAAATGTCAGTTGGTCATGACATGTAATTGCATTAATATGTTGCTAAGTTCAGGTTGCTAGTATTTCATTGAAAATTTCTGTACCTATAGTCATAAAGCCATTGATCTATATTTCTCTTACTTAATATGTTTTTATCTGGTGTTAGTATCAGGATAATGCTGGCCTCATAGAATGGTTGAAAAGTGCTCCTTTCCCTACTATTTTTTGAAAGTGTTAGAGAAACACTGATATTAATTCTTCTTTCAATGTTCAGTAGACTTCATCAGTCAAACCATTTGGTCCTGGGTTTTTCTTTGTTGGGGGATATTTGATTACTGATTTAATCTCTTTACTTGTTACAAATCTGTTGAGATTTCCTACTTCTTCCTCAGTCAGTTTTGATAGCTTATGTTTTCCTAGAAATTTCATCTTGGTTATCTAAATTTGTTCATATTATTATCTTGTCCATAGTATTATAATCTTTTTTATTTCTGAGAGGTATAGTATAGTATAGTATAGTAATATACTATTATTAGTATAGTAATAGTAATAATATAGTAATAGTAATATCCCCAATTTTCTGATTTTCATAATGCAAGTCTTTTTTCTTTGCTAGTCTAGCCAAAGGTTTGTGAATTCGGTTGATCTTTTCAAAGAAACAACTTTTGTTTTCATTGATACTATTTATTGTTTTTCTTGACTTCTTTCATCTCTGCACTAATCTTTATTATTTCCTTTCTTTTCCTAGCTTTAGCACATTCATTCTTTTTTAGTTCTATGAGGTATAGAATTAGGTTACTGGATTTGGGATCTTCTTTTTTGATGTTAGCCTTTATGGCTATAAATTGTCCTGCGAGCATTACTTTTGCTGTAGCTCATAAATTCTGGTATATTGTGTTTTCATTTTCATTAATTTCAAAGTATTTTCTAATTTCTTCTATAATTACAGCCTTGATTCACTGAGTTTTTTTGAGCATGTTGTTTAAAATCTACATTTACATGGACTTCCTAGGTTTCTTTCTGTTAATCATTTCTAGTTTCACTCCATTAGGTCAGATAGGATACTTGGTATGATTTCAGTCTTTTTATTCTATTGAGATTTTTTATACAGCTTGACATATGATCTATCATGAATAATGTTCAATGTCAACACGAAACAAATGTGCTTTCTCCTGCTATTGGGTGGTGTGTACTATATAAGTCTGTTAGGCCTAGATTGTTCTAGTGCTGTTCAAATCTTTTTCATTACTGATCTTTTTTTTTTTTTTAAGTTCTTTTTACCATTCTTGAAAGTGAGGATAGAGTGAATTCTCAAACTCTTATGAAAAACTGTGTATTTCTTACTTTAACTCTTGTCAGTTTATACTTCATGTATTTTTGAGGTTGTATTTTGGGTATGTATATGATTTTGATATCTTCTTGATGGAATGGCCCTTTTACGAAGATGTTAAGTATTGTTTCTTGTAATATGTATCGGCCAAAAGTCTATTTTGTGTTATATTAGTTTAGCTACCCCAGCTCTCTTTTGGTTACTATTTTCATGGATTATATTTTTATCCTTTTGTTTTCAACATACTGTGGATCTTAGATGAGTCTC